CCTTGTTGGATCAACGACTCTCTTCTTCTGCTTCACGTAAGTATCTTATACAGTAATACAGACATGGTGCTAAAGGCCTGCTGTACATGACCTAACCTTTATTTATTCAGAGCAAGTTAACAGAGCACACTTGCCTTCTTTTCACCAAAGCACACCTGTGAGCTCCCTATTTACAGTCAGTCTTTTATTTTTGGCCACCAGGCAGCATCACTGGAGCTGTTTCAGGGTAAATTGCCTTGTACAAAGGCTTATCTGCAGTTTTTGATAGAGCAGTTTTTCCCATCTGTGTCTAGCCAACAAGTGCAGGGATTTGAACATGCTTGTATAATTGCCAGTTGGTGCAGTTTCTGTCTTGAATAGACCAGAAACATTCATCAGACTTTGAAAGACTAGCAGTTATGGCAACAATACTGTATGTCATCACTTTGTTGTTCCATCCTTTTTCATACTGTCCAGGTGCCCTTGGTTGTCAGAGTATTTTTCCTCAGTAATTCCCATCTACAATGCCGTCATCTTCCTTTTCACCCTCGCCAACTTCTGTATGGCTACATTCATGGACCCTGGAGTCTTCCCCAGAGGTAAGCACACACGACTGGTGTTGGTGTGCTAGACGGTGCCCTAGAAAGTTAGTTGCCATCACCTAATGATACGCATGCAGTGCTTTAAAGTACATGATGGAGCAGAGGGGGGGGGCACATGATCATGTATTATGTATCCTGAGCCACAGCCGGGGGCGGCTGTGGCTCAGGAGGTAGAGCAGGTCGTTTCCTAACCGGAGGATTAGCGGTTCGATTTCCGGCTTGTCCAGTCAACATGTCGAGGTGTCCTTGAGCAAGACACTGAACCCCCAGTTGCTCCCGGTGATGTCACCGGTGTATGAATGCGTGAGTGCTTGGGAGTGTGAATGGGTGAATGGCCGAATAATGTGAAAGCGCTTTGAGTGTGCTGTAAAAGCATAGAAAGGCGCTATACAAGTATAAGACCATTTATTATGATGTGAGTAAGTCTCAGTGTGTGTTTGTGTGTCTGCTTTCTGTAGCGGAGGAGGATGAGGATAAAGAGGATGATTTTCGTGCTCCGCTCCATAAGACAGTGGAGATCAAAGGCATCCAGGTGCGCATGAAGTGGTGCTCAACCTGCCGCTTCTACCGCCCGCCACGCTGCTCACACTGTTCAGTCTGCGACAACTGTGTGGAGGTACGCACACAAGTAGTATCATTTTACTTTACTTTACTACTTTTACCTTTTTTAAATTTAGTTTCTTCAGGTTGTTGTATTACTAACTGTTCCTGTATTTTTCATGTTGAGTGAATATTAATGTTTGTTTAAAACATCCTTCATTTCGTAATGATTAGAATGTCTCAATAGAAATTGAGACATTGATTTTGAAATGAATATTCATTCATTTCATTATCAAAGCCTCAACAGCACTCTGAGAGACTGAAAAGGCTACTTACATTACCCTGCATTAAAAAAGGTGTGTGTGTGTGTGTGTGTCATGTGTCTTTCAGTTTTAATAGCAAGCCCTGATTTCTCAGTGAGCATTTAGAGACTCCCGTGTGACTTGACTGCTCAGCCTAGATCTGTCCTATTCTTAGTTTTCCATGTGTGAATGTGGGAGGTGGACATGTGATTTTGATCTATTGGAGCTGTTGCTTGGCATCGATATTTTTCTTTCTTTTACATCTTTACTGGTGCTTGTGTCTTGTGACCTTACACTCTCTCAGGATTTTGACCACCACTGTCCTTGGGTGAACAACTGCATTGGTCGGAGGAATTATCGCTATTTCTTCCTCTTCCTGCTGTCACTGACCACCCACATCATGGACGTATTTGGCTTTGGCTTGGTTTATGTTCTGCACCACCGCCAGCAGCTAGACACGCCACATGCTGCTGTTACGTATCCTTCACTTGGGACACTTCAGTCATTTAAAAAAAGCAGAGCACATTTTTCTTTTTTTCTATATTAATTTCATTGGGATATTATTTATATATTTTTTTATGACTATTTTGTAATCTCCTTGACCCTGTCCTTCCAGTATGGCTGTGATGTGTGTGGCTGGTCTGTTTTTCATCCCAGTTGCTGGCTTGACTGGGTTCCACATAGTACTGGTGGCCCGTGGCAGGACCACTAATGAACAGGTACTGACAAGAACTGGTTGCATCCATCACATCCTTTGTCAGTTTAATGAATTCATATAGTTCAGACAGATCTTTATATGCTGGTTTGTTAATGCTGGTGTCCATGTGATTTGGAAACTGTAAACATGATTGTTTTTCTGTCCCTGCAGGTGACAGGAAAGTTTCGGGGTGGCGTTAACCCTTTCACCAATGGCTGCTTGAGGAATATTACACATGTACTCTGCAGCTCCCAGGCCCCTAGGTCAGCTGTCCTCTCTTGACTTCGCTCATCTGTTTACTCCCCTCCTTTAACACTCTGCTCCACAGTTATTATTTTTTCCACTGCCTCTTTCCTTCCATTGCTCTCCCTCCCCTTCCACTTCTCCACCCTCCTCATTTATTATTCTCACTTGTTGGTTGAGTTAATGGAATATATGACTACAAGCCTTCAGTGTGAGTGGCTCATGGTGTTACATTTGTCTGTAGATCAACATACTGTTGAGCCTGTTGCTTAATGCTTTTCATTTTAATTGGGATAGAAATGTATTTCTATGTCCTCTTCACAGATATATGGGCCGGTGGCGGAGACCACTGTCCGTGGAAGTACAGCCACCATTTCTTAGACCGCCTCTCACTGAGGCCCAGCTAGAAGCTAAGGTCCTGGACAATGGCATCCAGAATGACCAACACAGCACCAGGGTGAGGGATCCTTAATACAGCAAACATGCAACAAAATGACCAATCTACATGTAGAAGTTTGGATTTAAGATCAACACAACATCCCATGGGATGAGTCATGGTTTTTTTTTTTTTTTTTTTTTGAATGAGTTCACGAGTTAACAGATGTACTGAAGAACAGTAAGAGTATGTAATGGAGAAAATAGAAACATCTCACATATGGATAATGAAGTTCCTGGTATAATAGCAGCCTAGTGGGTGTTGAGACTGAAAATAGTTTTAGTTCCATAAATGTCTGTAACATCTACAGCACGGCAAGCAGCAGGGCTAACCTGCTCATTTGATTAGCCATTGCAGTGCACTGCCAGATGACACTGCATTGTGTGCAGCAAAGCCTGAGATCATTTGCTGGATGTCTGTGCAGCTGACTTTACAGTTTGGAAAGACTTTTCATGACTTTTCTGTCTCTTTTCCAGTCCAAGAGCAGTCTAGACCAGATGGAGAGCCAGTCAGCTGATGCAGAGCCTCCACCCCCTCCAAAGCCAGAGCTTCATTACCCCAGCCTGCCCCGTGCTGACACAGAGGGTGAGACACACACACACAAATACACGAGCCTAGGTGTTGGAGGAATTATCATTTGACATGGCGACATCTGAGTGTTGACCATCAGGTGCAGCCCAGGGACTCTTATGTAAAGAGAGGAATGTTTGCAATAAGAAAACAAACACCTTGTTCAAATGTCACCGTTGGTTTCTTGCCGCTCAGAGAGCAGCTTGTTGACTGAAGCTCCACCTACGCCATCAATGTACAAGTACCGACCAGCCTTCAACAGCCCAGGAAGGAACCACCCTGCCTTCACAACCCCCAACAAGGTACATGTCAATTTACACTTGCAGAGATGTTGTGGGTATAAACTTTTCACCTAACATCATGTAGCTATTATACATTTAAAACATTATAGGAACAATCAGTTGAGAGTGAAGTTAACTGCATGCCTTTGCCTATGACACATTCATTAATTGTCATATCTAAGATACATGTAGCTCTATTATTTTAGACACACATAGTTGCATAGCACGCATTTTGTAGCATTTGTAACACACAGAGGGATGTAGCTAACCTTACTGCATAAAAAGAAGTGAGGAGAACAAATCAAAACAGTATCTATAGTTAGTCTGGTGGCTGTTATACCCATCCATCCATTTTCCTCCGCTTATCCGTGACCGGGTCGCGGGGGCAGCAGTCTAAGCAAAGATGCCCAGACTTCCCTCTCTCCAGACACTTCCTCCAGCTCCTCCGGGGGAATGCTGAGGC